CACACGTTTCACACGAGAAAGGCTTTTCACCTGTGTGAGTTTTCATGTGAGCATTCAAAGCACTTCTATAAATAAAACATTTTCCACAGGTCTGACTGACATGAGAAAGGTTTCTCACCTGTGTGAGTTTTCATGTGGTATTTAAAGCCATTATATTCACAGTAACTTTTTCCACAGATATGACAAGTAAAAGGTCTCTCACCTGTGTGAGTTCTCATGTGAACAGTTAAATAACTTTTTGCACAGAATTTTTTCCCACAAGTCAAACACACAAAACGCTTTTTGGGGATGCTTTTTGCTTTTGGGTGGTCTACATTGTTGCCGTGACCTCTGGTTTGTGAACTTCTCTTATGCTGTTTCAACTCTTCATCTTTGCTAAATCCTGAGTCTGTTTTTCTGTTTCCTTCCTGAACTTGGCTCTCAGACATAGAAGAGTTCTGAAAGAACCATTGGTCCCTATTTGGTTGTAGTTCCCTGTAATTTATTTCCTTTTTAACAGAAGTTACCATAAAGGTTTCAGTCTCCTGCTCCTCTTTCATCTCTAAACTTTTTGGTTTTCCCTTTGGAAGTCCTAGATCCTTATGTTCCTTTTTTATCTGTGGAAGTCCTGGTTCCTCCTGGTCTGAACTGGAGTTCCTGTCCTGGTTACAGAGCGATTGGTCAGCAAGAACCTCTTCCTCCTTCCAGGTGTGATGCCGTGGCAGATCTGGATGAACAAACAAACGAAAATGTTGATCAAAGAAATTGTATGAAAACTTACTTTACATTAATTATAAGATGTATCTGAAAATGGATTGGAAGCTGTAGCAGGAATTTATTACAGCTCAGTAGGTACTCAGACCACACCTTTCCTAAAACCTTTTGCGATACTGTCCGTCTGTTCTGAGACAGGAAAAATGAAGCTGAAAGTTTCAGAAAGGAAAATGGGGGGTCACCGTTTCACATTTTTAATTTCATAACTGATTGCATTTATATCAGGAAATAAAAAAGTTTTCATTAAGTTGATCTGGATTGGATTGGATTCAGGATGACAACTAGATTCTGCTGTTTGGGTTGGTGAAATCTGGATTGTCTACAAATTTGTGTGGATGGGTCGAAGCTTGGCAGCACTCAGACTGAATTATGTGGAGCTGCGTCAGAGAGCTTTTAAAAAAAAAAAAAAAAAAAACTGGAGTATAACCTTTTATAACTGTCCATTGTTGTCGTCATTCTTTGTTGAAATCAGGTCTCTCTTGTAAATGAGTCCTCGGGGCTCAATGGGATTTACCTGTCTAAATAAAGGTTGAATGAATGAAAAAAAGAGCTGGAGCAGGCCGTTATCAGGACTGTAAACTTTCTGACAGTGCCCATGAATGGTTGGGAATAATCTTGGAGAAAGCTGTGAGCTCGGCTTTCGGCGTAAGGAATCAATTCGGCTGTTTGGAATCACCATCCGAGAAATGTACCAGCGAGACTTTAAAAGGCAGAAACGGCAATTCACGAGTTCACAAAACATGATGTCCCAGATGTGCTCAATTGGATTCAGGTCTGAAGAATGGGCAGGCCAGTCCATAACATCAATGCCCTCATCATGCAGGAACTGCTGACACACTTCAGCCACATGAGGCCTAGCATTGTCATGCATAAGAAGGAACCCAGGGCCCACAGCATATGATCTCACAATGGGTCTGAGGATCTCATCCAAGTACCTTATGGCAGTCAGGGGACCTCTGGCTAGCACATGGAGGGCTGTGTGGCCATCCAAAGAAATGCTCACCTGTGTGACGGACTGGAGACCTGTCCAGGTGTCCCCCGCCTCTCACACAGTGATGGCTGATATGGGCACCAGTGATACACGTGACTCGAAAATTAAGAAGTGGATAAAGATGATGGATGAATTATTTGTTCCTAAATTTTTATTTATTTATTTTTTTTAGAAAAATTCAGGCAATTAAGCTAACCTAATACTGGTAATTTAAGTTACAGAATTTTATTCACTCCTATATTTTTCCTATTTTTGGTATAAAAATAAAATGAATCAAAAAGATTTGATACAGTAAGGAACCTAAAAGGATTTTTAAATAAATGTTCGATTTGTTTACATTGTTGTTTAATCTTTTCAGCTTGTCAGTTACATAACTGAAACAAAATTTATGATCATTTCAATAGAAAAATCGTTTCTGAATGGAAAAATAGATTTTAAATCGTAACGTGACACCAAAAATCGGAATCAAATCGGATCACCAGACACAGAGAGTCGCACCCCTACGCCACACACTACATCAAATTGGTCTGCATGGCCGTCATCCCAGAAGGAGCTGGCTGTGAATCATCCATCCATCCATCCATCCATTTTCTTCCGCTTATCCGGGGTCGGGTCGCGGGGGTAGCAGCCTAAGTAGGGAGGTCCAGACTTCCCTCTCCCCAGCCACTTGGGCCAGCTCTTCCGGGGGAATCCCGAGGCGTTCCCAGGCCAGCCGAGAAACGTAGTCCCTCCAGCGTGTCCTGGGTCTTCCCCTGGGCCTCCTTCCGGTGGGACGTGTCCGGAACACCTCACCAGGGAGGCGTCCAGAAGGCATCCTAAACAAATGCCCAAGCCACCTCAACTGGCTCCTCTCGATGTGGAGAAGCAGCGGCTCTACTCCGAGTCCCTCCCGGATGATCGAGCTTCTCACCCTGTCTCTAAGGGAGAGCCCAGACACCCTGCGGAGAAAACTCATTTCGGCCGCTTGTATCCGAGATCTCATTCTTTCGGTCACAACCCAAAGCTCGTGACCATAGATGAGGGTGGGAACGTAGATCGATCGGTAAATTGAGAGCTTCGCCTTTTGACTCAGCTCTCTCTTCACCACGACAGACCTGTACAGCGCCCGCTTCACTGCAGACGCTGCACCTATCCGCCTATC